GGTAACCTTAAATTTAAGATGTTTTTTCTTTGTTTTGCAAAATTCGGGGTAAAAAGGTTCAAGCAAAAACAGTATAAGAGAACAAAAAGAAAAACAGGGGCTAAAGGAAAACTATCTTTGTGTGCTTTGTTTGATTTTATTGAAGTGCAGCTGGTCATGTGAACTGCATATTCTCTGATAGGGTAACTTCCCTTACACTGTAGATATTGGGGACACTTCGGGTTTCTTTAAATGCTAGAGTAAATGCGGTTTTTCATTACTTCCAGCTCTTTTCAATGAGACATGATTTAAACCAACATTGGAAATATAGCTGCTATGCATTCCTTTTTGTGAAATCATGCCATTTTCAGAAATTTACAAACTTTTCGAATATCTCAAAATCAGTGACCTTTGGAAATGAAGCAAAATCTGTGCATAGCAAAATGAGGATTTGGCTTAAAAATTTAATATCAAATCAATGAAAAAATTGTGATATTAAAGTAGGTTATGTAAAATGCCTTAGAGCCTTTAGATTTTTTCAGAATTTGTCACATGACCATGGGCGTGGCCTGATGATGTCATTATTGGGGTTACTGGTCATGAAAAAGCTAAAACTCATGAAATAACTCTGAACCAACGAAATGTGACGGGGTTATATGACAATAAATTTTCCTGCCCAACAGCCCTAAACATCTTGGTTTATAATGGTTTGTTCACAGCTTCCAAGCCCACGGTCAAAGATGAAAATGTTGCAAAAATTTGGACATTATCAGCACAGGATATTGACGACGATGAAATTGTAAGAACAATGGATCACAGTCGTTCCACTGTTATGTACATTACATTATGTCCAGTATTTGGTGCTACTCATCACATTCTGTTCTGGTGTTAGTGTGAAATTTGGTCTGAGCTAGACGCAAATCTATTTTAAACAGCAATGTTGTGTATTACTGTTGAACTTTCAGGCATTTCATGATTTTTTGTTCCTGCTGCACTGATCATGTTTCCTCCCAAAATGAGACCCATCAAGTTATTATCAAGACTCTAATCTGTTTGTTTGAAATCTTTCTTGTTTGGTATTTTCTAGAACACTTTGGACATCTGGGTGAAACCATATTGGTGTGCAGTTTTTTCAAAACTGCATTAAATTTTTTATGTATTTCTACATCTTTACAACATTATGAATGCATCTACAAGACATCGTGTATAAAAGATGTTTGTCTGCTGGACAGTAATCTCACAAAGCATGGCTTAACAGTGAAACGACTGCTTGTGAACACCAGTCCATAATAAATACATTACATACATTTCACTTGGTCCCAGAGATATCAAACTCAGGTAAACTCTACCTGGCCTTTGTGGTGACATCCTTTATACCACACTATTCTTATCATGAAGATAGCCTACATGTACTAGTATTGTTGATACTATAAATTTCAATTAATTTTTATAGCAATGTGAATTAATTTTGTAGGATATTCTTGACTCAGACACTCTACTTGATGAGGAAGATTTGATAAAACCTGATCCTGCTTCACTAAAAAGTATGTTTTATTGTTAGTAACCACTCAAAACAGAACACAGGCTAATGCAAATTCCTTGTTCATGTCACAAGTTTATTGCTCCAAAGTCCAAATATTACTAAGATCCTAATTGCTTCTTGCTCCACAAAAACAAAACAGTCAGTGACTGCATACATTTAACTTTCTTTGCCCAAGAATCCAGCTTTTAAAAAACCTACAATTTTCTGCGTAATTGTTAAGTTGTGCTCCAGTTGGATTTCAGATAAATAATACATGTACATAAGTTTGGTTCACATTATTATCTGTAGCAATTTTTTATTAAAGCAATTTTCATACAGTTTTTGACCACATTGTGCCATTTTTGCCATCTAAATGACAACTTTCAATGATGTTTGCACAAATAACTAATGTATTCTAGCTCTAGAAGCGGAGTCCAGCTCCATTTGACTATTTTGGTGTTGTTTGTGATAATCTCAGGTGACTGTAGCACAAACAAGGCAGGCAAGAAGAAGGCTTGTAAGAATTGGTAAGGGCTAACAGTGAGTCATTTCAATTTGGACCCCCTGCAGTGCTAGAAGTCCAAGTGATTTCATCCATTTTATTTGACTTTGCCAAGTAAATTTCTGATGACTGATAATGAGATAACAGTTATGATATGAATATATCCATAGCTACACTAAACTTTGAAACTAATTTTATTATTATTTGTCCACTGACAGTACATGTGGTTTAGCTGAGGAACTTGATCAAGGAAAGACACCACAAAAGAAGACTGTGACATCATCATGTGGAAGTGTGAGTTATTATCAAGAATTTGTCTCTTAAAGTAAACTTTGATTTGAGTGCTACCGGTAATTGTTTCCAATGCTGATGAGAGTTAGTGCATGGTTTAGGGTTGTACATTTTTGAGGTGAATGAACCTCACAATTCTGTTGTTGTGGGAATTGCTGACAAGCAGGAACAACTGCCTGCTGTTTGCAGTAGTGCGCCTCTCCCAGGCATTTTTGTCAGGTTGAACTGACAATTTGCCTTTAACCACTCATAATGCTGGCTGGAGAGAAGCACTGCAAGACTGAAGACACAACACTTTGACCCTGGCAAAGGCTTAAAAGAGGGTCCAATACAACTGAGAGGTTTTTTATTTGTTGTTTTGTAGTGCTATTTAGGAGATGCATTCCGTTGTGCAAGCTGTCCTTACTTGGGAATGCCGGCCTTTAAACCAGGAGAAAAGGTGGCCCTCACAAGTCGGCAGCTGAAAGGGGATTTGTAGTACAAAGTAGAACAATAACTAAAATTTTCAAGCCCTCAGATCAACTGAAGGGAAGTTTATTTAATTTCAAATATGGGATGAGCTGTAATTACAGGATGTATGTAGGAGAACATCTCTGTTGTCACTGCTGAAAATGAGTTTGGTTATTGCTTCATCACACTTTAGATCCCTATTCCTTATCTTCGATGCCCTAAAAAAATACCTGTGAATGCTCTAGACTGCTGTTAGTGATGCTAGGGAGCTAGGGAGACATCCGTTTTTATACTACATTGTACAATTTGCCTTAAGAAATGCACTTGTAAATAAAAATAAACTGACAT